TAAGATATTAAACAGAGAATTATGGTCTACGCATACAGAAATGGGACAGCAGATGACTTTTTCATGTATTGGAAAAAAACATAGTAGGCTCTATACATTCTGCTAGAAAGAGATAAATACAAAGCAAAACCAGAAGAAACATTCAGCAGCAAAGAAAACTAACTATGTGAGCAGCATACTCGGGGGCATGTCTTTCTAAAACCTTGCATCAATGCTGAACTGCTGGGTGAGGCTCCATAGCCTTTTATTAGGAAAACATGATGAGATTGTCGTACCGTATTTCAAACTGCTGTGGATTTACTTCTTGTTTTTCCCCACAAGAGTATTCTCCCCCTGTTCCATTTCTGGCAGGCTATGTTATACAAATACAGCAGAAAACATTGAGCTGTATATCCTGCTGCTCACTGTGCCAGCGCTGGTCAGATCCTCAACAGATTTGCATATGTATCCTGCTCTCTTCTGCAGTTACAGAATTTCTCTGCTGCAAAGTCTAAAGTGAAGCAGCATTATGTTGAAGAAACATGAAAAAAAAAAAAGACCAGCATAGAGCTGCAAGGTGATGGGAATGATGCTGTTAGCTACTGCACACTAGGGTAATTCTTTCTGTCAATTGAAAATGCAGAGACACTGAAGCTGTTAATTGAATCAAATTATATTCTGGATCCATTGACATGGGTGAAGCTACTGCACTTCAGGATTCTCCTCTTCACCCATGCTTAAGCAGCCCATAAAATCTTAAACAGCATGGTTCAAATTGTGAGGATATGCACGTGAAAAACATCTGATAAATCTTTGATTTATATAGGTCATCACTGACTCTCCTCCCTATGACCACAGTTAGGGAAAAAAATGAATTTATAATTTGACTTTATAAGTATCTGTAAGTAGGAGTACAAAAGTAATACTTCAAAATCACAATTACAAGTAAAAGTAATAATAAGAGCAACTGCTAATTGAAAACAACTAACTAGCCAGTAGTTGCTACATGTATCATGTAAATAAAAACAAAAGGATTTGTTACACGCTTGAGAAGGGCCTGGAATGATTTGCATAGTTTTCCTACTTACCTATTACCTCTATGTAAACTCTGCCAACTTTCACGTAAACATTAAAAGAAAGAACAGGTTGATCGCAGCTTCAATTTGCAGCTGGGTCAGAAGCCCAGAAGGAACTGTGGAATGCAACTGGAAATGGCCTACATGGGTGGTCAGATTGCCCCGTGTGGTACAGCCATGGCGTGATCTCCCCACTCATATCAGGGATGTGTCTGCATCTAAGCACCAGAAGCTCTAGCCAGCTAAACCAGTAATGATGCTGAGAAGTCCACCCACAATTTCATCTACTCGTATTGTACCTAATTGTTGCCCACACCTGTGTCCTTCATCGAATTTGCACTAAGCTCAGAGAGGCCAAGTACATGCTGGAGGACAGGCATAAAACTCAAAACAATCTTGAGAAATTGGAGAAATGGATTGCAACTATAGGATAAAATGAAAAAGGTTCAACAGCAAGAAAATACAGTTTGGCAGAAGTAAGCATGTGTATGGCAGTGCCTGAATGTATGGAAAGTATTTAGAAAAATGGAATGGAGTACAGCTGGTCACTACAATCCAAGAATATCAGGCTCTTGCCAAGATGGCATATCTAAGGGTGACCATAAAAGCAGGAACATAGCCTCCAAGGTACCCCAAATATCCCTTCCACTTCATTATTACTGATATACGTTCAGCTGGATTACTTGATCCAGGTTGGTGCGACACCACATAAATGGTAGAGACAATCTGGGAAATCTGTCCAAAATGAAAAAAGATGATCAGAGGCTTGGAAAACATAATGTTCAAGAAAGAATTGAAAGATATGGCACTGATAAGCTTAAAGGAGAGAAGGCTAAGACACTTGATGACAGTCTTCAAATCTATCCTGAGACTTCCAATACAAAGTAGAAAAGGTTAAAATCTGAGCATAATGCTCATCTGACATATTAAGTGCTAATATGTTAAACTCAATTTCTAAATTAAATTTTCGTGAGATAAAGTTAGACAGTATTTTCCAGACAAATACCTGTGTATTACAAATTTGAGAAGCTGCTGTTTTCCTGAGCTTAACAATAATTTTTCATGGTACTTTGATGCAAATACTCAATCACATTCAAATGAAAATAGAAGGAAGCTACTATTTTACATGGCTTCCTGCAGGACATATGCAATGTTATCCCAGAGGATATGGCAGGTTATGCAATGTGTGAGCAGCTCAGCATAGCTATGTTTATTTGGGAAGCATTTCCAGTAATTATTTGGACTGAACTGAGAGAATAAACTGATGAGACATTCTTGTGGTTTAGTATTTTAATAACTAAAGTTAACAATTAGATTTTAAATTAATTGCATTTGGTTACTATTTCACTCTCATTATGCAACTTAAATACTGGAAGGGAAATAGGAACTTGCTTTACTAATATTAGGATTCTTCCATTGCGTGTGTGTTCGCATATGCATGTGAAAGTGCTGGCTAATAAAAGAAGCAGAATGGTTTCCTCTACCTTATTATATTCTAGTACTACTGGATAAACTTGGTTTAGGGACCAAAATAGACCAACTCTTTTCCAGATTTAAAATCTCGTAGAACAAGAGCCAATTCCAAGTTCTTAGCAAAGCTAAATGCTGTTCCAAGTCACCTAGTAAGTTAGACAAGTAAGTCAACTAGAAGACTAAAGCCTTCTCTTTCAAAGGGAAACAAACATACAGTTCTTTGATCATAAAATATCACATGCAGACTTCTCCAATTGCATACTCCATATTTCTTCTTCCTGATTATCGTAAGTTAGCAGTATTTCTAATTTATGTGTCTGGCACAGACAAACCCCCTGATCTTTCTTTCCTCCTTACATGACAGTATTTTTGAAAAATGCAAAAGAAAGACTTCAGCTAATTCTTTCTGACAAAAAAAGCTTTCCCATCAACCAGTTCTGTATAGAATGGCCTACTGCAGGAAAAGCATTCAGGCTTCCATACTGAGCTCAAAAGCATGTTGCTTTGCTACAAGCAGGTTTTAAAACTGAACTGGACATAATTATTTGTATGTCATTACTACAAATCCTTTTCAGGTTTATAGCTGCTGCACATCAATTCTGTCATCAGAGTTCTGGAAACAAACTGGAAAGCTGGGTGTGAGCTAAGATACACAGAGCATTTTCAGAGCACTTTGGAAGCCAACTTACAGAAGACTTTTTCCACTTTTACCATTCATTACTCAGTTATGCTTGGCCTCCATCTCCTCCTGCCACCTTCAAAATGAAAACAGCATGTTCATTATTATTCATGGAAATCCATCAGATACAGAGAAAGTATCCCTTTAGCCCCCCAACTGTTCCATTTATATTTCTTTTGGGAAAGATTGCTATTCTTTGCTTGGGTAGCAATCTTTTGAACTGCTGCTTTGCCACTGAATCCACAGGAAGACAGTAATTTGCCTTGGCTTTACAGAGCCTTATCTGTAGGCTAAGTAATCGTGTGGCTGCCAGCCTCAACCGAGCACATGTGTCCGAAGCACATAATGCGATGGCAGCTGGCAGCGCTCAGCTTCCCCTCGTTTCTGTTCACTGGCCCCCCCTGGGCAGCTGTCCACAGTAGAGGCAGCTTCACCCAACACCACCCAGCATCTTGTGGCATGAAGTCCACAGATGCATGCTTCTCAACTAGCTTAGTATTTAATATTACATGTTTACAGTGCTTAGTACAATACCTGTTCTTGTGGGGCTTATTGGATGTTACTCAAGTATCAATGCTTATTTCAATTAGTGCTACTCCTAATTACATGAAATGAGGTGCTATGTATTCCAGCTGACTTAATTTCATTATTACCTTGAGACCATTCAAGGAATGACAGTACAGCAACAAAATTGCTAAGGTGTACAGGGATGGCTGCTCTATCTGAAGTGCACTGCCTTGCATGCACTGAAAGGGATTTAAGAGCAGCACAAAACATTTCATATAATATTTTCAGCTGATTACACAGAATAATTTTAAAGACCCTGTTTATCCCTTTCCCAAGAAACATGCTGCTATTTGTTATTCCTATCATACCTTCAAAGATACCGCATGTGATGACACAGGAAATCAAACATGTGCATCACTCTTTGTGCAAGGTCTTTTGTAAATGGAGATTCCAAATTATTATAAATGTTTGCACATGCATGTCTTAGAATGGAAATATAATACATTAAATTGATGCTCAGCACTAACCAAATTTCAATCCTTACTGCCTAATAGTAAAGAAAGTATGAGCTTATGAGTTGAGCATCCTCAAACTAGGCTGTGCTTATTAAATGTCCCAAACAGATCTAAAAGTCTCAGTGTAGGCATGAGGACTGAAAAGCCATGGCTTTATTACTCATAGCCTAGCCGAGGTCTGCCCGGAGTCATATATTGACACCCAACTGTGAAATACTCTATAGCGACATCCAATTTACCACTTTTTTGAAGGAGGCTGAAAAGAAAATTACTGTGAAATGGGGGCGGGAGAGAAAAACCTCCCTTTGCCAGACTGCGGGAGAACAATTTACTTTTTCACCGCTTTTTTTGCCCAGCCCCGTGAGGACCGCCTGGGCCAACCGCTCCCGGTCGGCTTCGGCGCACGAGAGCCGCGAGCCGCTCACCCACCGCCTTCCTCAGCCTCCCTCCCGCCTGACCTCGCCCGCCACCGTGCTGGGCACCGCCGGGGCAGGCTGGGCGGGGCCGGGGCGCGGCAGACCCCCAGGGCGCTGCGGGGCTGCGGCGGAGGTGGAGCGCCAGCAGGAGTCGGCTGTCCGCTGCGGGACAGGCCGGAGGTACGCTGAGGTGGTGCTGCCGGCTCGGCGCTGGGGCGGGACACCGGGCTTCCTGCTGGCCGCGCACCTGGGAGCGGAGTTGGGGCTCCGGCTGTCTCGGCCCGGCGGCATCGGCAGCAGGAGTAAGACTGAGACTGGGGGACATCGACCACAGCAGCGGCACCAGCGGCAGGAGGCGGCAGACCGGAGCATGGAGAGCATCTGCTCCCCCCCACCGGAGCAGGAAGCGGTGGAAGCGTGGCTGGACGATCACAGCGACTTCACCCGCTCTTACTTTGTTAGGAAAGCTACGAGGTAAGACCGGAACGGCAGTGGATAAAGGCAGATCCTTTCTTCCCAGCAAAAGGTCGCTCTTCCATTAATCTTAGGTGTCTACAAAGAAAATAAAGGAGAAAAAAAAAACTATTTCCCCCTCCCCCCCTCACCAAAAGAGCAAAAACTGAGGCCGAGCAGCAGCTCCAGCCGCCACTGGGAACATGCCGCTGTCTCCCGAGCTGGGCCGCCGTGGTGCTGCGAGCAGCACCAGCCCCAGCCCGGCCCTCGGGGGTCCGCGACGTCCCCTGCCCGGGGTTCGATTGATTTATTTTGCGGTCTCCGTGGTTTAAAACAGGCATAGCCAACTTCTTGCGAGTAGCGAGCAATACGTACTTCCCTGCCCCGCCAACTAAACAGAAGTATGTCGAAGCCTAGGTAACATCTCCTCTCTTCAGGACGGCGCACTGTGTCACTGCTCAGTAGTCTCTGAACAAAGCGCTACTCTTTCAAGAGCTCGGTCGCCCCGCGGCCTCGTCACCTTTCTTGACAGCTCGACGGCCGGCGGGAGGAGGGGCGGTGCGTTATCGCCACGAGAGCTGACGAGCCGGTTGCGGCCGCTCGTGCCGTACGGGGAGCACTGGAGAGCCGAGCTCTGCCCGAGAAGTGCGAGCACAGCAGCTGAGGGGAGGGGGTTCCTACAGCAGGGGACATCGTGCTGCATCCCGGCCCTGCACCGCGCTCCCCTTTCCTTCCTGCAGCCTTGGGGAAGGGCAGCAAGCGAGGGATCGCTGGCCCTGGGCGCGCGGGCAGAGGCAGAAGAGCAGTCTCCCCGGCAGAGGCAGAGTCCCCAGCAGGGGGCAGCCTCCCACTAGGGCAGAGGATCCCGTAAGGCAGAAGAGCAGTCTCCTATTAGGGGCAGAGGCTCCCCGGCAGGGAGTAGCGCGGTGCAGGCGGAGCTGCTGATCGGCGTTGGGCGGGAGGGTTTAAGGAGGGGGGAGAGGCTGCGCCGCGCCTGTCCTCGATGCTGGTTCTTTCAAAGAACTTAATGGAAAGACCTGGAGAGCTCTCCTGGGCTTTTCTCTCCTGGCTTGACATGTTGCCATTTGGAGATAAGGCGAGGTATTTGCTAACCGTTCTCACACTTCAGCAGTGGGACTTCAAGTTGAAATCGAGTAAATTCCGCTATTTTTAGAAGTGGAGTCAGGTTTCCATTTCAAATATTTTCCGATAAACAAAGCAGTGGCGATGCAGAGCACCGGCAGTCTGCAGCTCCCACGGTACATCTTAGCTGAGAGCTCTGGTTAGTAAGTCCTCTGGGTGGTTCCTCGCGCACGCTTCCCTCCTCTCTGCTTTGCTCTTCTGCTTCTGAGCCGCTGCCACCATCTGCTCACCGATGCTGGTTTCCTGCTGTCCCAGATCACTTAGCAGGGCTGGCTGGATGCATTCATAGCGGGGTTTTGCTGCTGCTTCTCTCTGCATGGGATGGGGTGGTAAGAAGAGAAATCCCCATTAATAATTGACTCGAGGCAAGCTTGAAAGCTTCAGGGATCACTTGCTTTCTTGTGACCATCTGTCATGCAGTCTCCTCTCTTTCTTAGGTTCATTTAACAGAAAAGTAATAAAGGTGCCATTTAAAATGTCTTTTAATGTTGGTGGTTTTTAAAGGCTGTGCATAGCTGTTGGATGCATAGATGTAAGTAGTTAATCTTGATCTTCTCCAGAACAGTAGGGCATGATGTGTAGTTGAAGGGTAGCTTATTTGCCCAGGAAACAGCGTGTTAGCAGCTTTGAGAAGTCCCATTTTATTAGTTCAGCCTGTAACACTTCCTTTGGAAACTGGAAGTAGCATTGAACAAATAGGAATGCTAATTAATAGTATGCGCTTTGTCAGATTTGTTTCCCCATGGACAGGTTTGGTTGTTTTTTTTTTCTTTTCTTGTTTTTCTTTCTTTCTTTTTTTTCCTCTTTTTTTTTTTTTTTTAATGCTGAGACAGTATGATGTTTGTGTGGGTCTGAAACAGGCAGTGGTCACAAATACAGATAGCAATGCTCTCAATTCTGCAGGAAAACTGTTGACTTTGAGTTCTTGCTTGGCCACAGTTCTAGGATGTTTTTGAAGTGATGAAACATTGCATTTGACTCAAAAGTCTCTTCTCTGCTGTCTTACATGGAATGGTTTGGGGTGGTTTTAGGATTTTTTTGTCCTTATGATATAAATAGAAAACTATAACTAGATTTTATCCACTAAATGCTGTAAAGCTGAGCAGTTTAAAGGAATTGATGTACTTTACAAAAGGTTTAATGTTCTATACTGTAGTGTTATTTAGAACATGAAAACATTTAATGTTAAATGCCCAAACACTTAATGCTGTGCTTTGTTTTAGTGGAATCTTTCTACAACGGCAATACATTGAACAAAGACTACGCTGTTAATGTTTTCTCACTTGGCATTATATTTACTCTGTCAAGTAAAGCAGAGTTTTTTGAACTAGTCTCATCTGTTTTCTAGTCTTAATTTACTGCTTCTCAGTTTTTATTTTGCTTCATAATATGCCAAAGTCGTCGTGGGTTCTAAAAGCAATAGACTAAAAGGAGAGTTAGTTTGGTACCTTTCAGAGCCCAGAGGCATATTCTACTGCATACTGCAAGGCACAATTGCAAATGGATAGTTTCTGTCTCTGTTTCTCAAATATTTATACACAGGAATAGGAAAAGATGACCAGTGCAAGCGTTTACTACAGAGTAATACAAGACCTTTCCACTGATAGTAATGAACTTTGAGTCAGAGCCTAATTTAGCAAGTATATGACAGGTGTTAATTTTTTTCTCTGCAACTAATTAATTCCCATAGTGTTTTATACAGTAGCTCTTTTGGTAATTCCCACAAAAGATGTTTTAATTAGGTGTCTAAATAATACTTATAAAAGAAATGCTTTGGGTGCTCTTATGCTGCAGATTTGTTTTCTTGGTTTTGTGTTGGTTTTGTGCTTTTTTTTTATTTTTTTTAAGTACAGGGGTCAGATTATGTCATACAGTCTTTGAATACTTCCATTTCTTCTAAGTGGAACCTCTTGTTCCATTTTGCATAGGTCAGTGATATTAGTATCAGTTTTCATGGTTTAGATAAAAATTGTATTTTCTGTCAAGGTGGCACTTCAAGAGAAAACATTTATTTTCCTTCACAATTAGCTATCGTTCTTAACTTGACAGCGATTAGAAAAATCCATATTCTGGATTCTTTGGGAGAAGGGTTGCAGGTTGTCTACTTGATTAATTTGTTTCTGCTTTCCTCCTCTCCCCTAAAATGTGTTGTAGAAGAAAAGTATATGCTCGTATTTTGATCCTGCAATGCCTTCAGTTTGATAGCATTTACAGGCGGGCCACATCAGTGCCTTCCTCAAGTCTTTGGTGTCTAAGTGAACTGACATATTCTGCAGTTTACCTATGGTGACTGACTTCTACCTGTACAACGCAAGGTTACAATCCTACAAGCATAGAATTCATGAGAATAGCTTTACATTGCTTCCTCCTTTAAGTAGAATAAACTGATCCCTTGAGTAGGAAGCAACAGAATCAGTTATTACTTTATTTTGTAGCAGGGGTACAAGTGAAATGCAGTGATAATATATCAATAGCTGTAATTCATTTGGTATTATTACAGTATGATCAAAGTACAGAAAAGCAAAGAGGAAGTATGTCACCAGCACATGCTGGTGACCAGCTGAATTTGGCTGACTGAGTGATAGTGTATGCTGGTTAACAAACCTGGCTGGAGAGTTTGGTACTGCACGCTTAGGGGTTCCAGTGTTTCTAAATACCTAGCTCCTACTAAATTTTAGCTATTTGTTTTCTTCCTTCTTTTTTCTTTTTCCTCAGCTCCTCTTGCTCTTTTTTTCCTCTTCCAAAGTTCTAGAATTGGCTATCATGGTCTGGCTTCCTGGAAAGCAGAAATGTTTTGAAGTAAAATGTTTCTTCCTTTAGATTGTATTTTATGTTTACCCAACTGTTATATGGCTCTTTGTAGCTGCTGCTACAAATATAATTGTTTCAACTAGACATTATAAAGGCATGATTATTTTTTTTGTGACAAAGTTGCACTGCATTTATGGCTGAATCAACATTCTTTTGGTTTTCCTGAGGTTTTATCTTTTAATGTTTCTTTCAGAAAAACAATCCATGCATTGTCATGTTCAAACATAATACTTGTTTTCAACCCTCATGGAATACTTCTGCATTTCTAACATCTTGTTTGTCCCTACTCTTAAAAATACAGGAGTGAGTCTCTGTTGGTGCTCTTTGAGATCAGAAGCAGCAGACTGCCAAAATAGCCGAAGTTCTCCCCTCAATTACTGGCAACTGCAGTTGCAGTTTTTGTTTGGTTTCCTAAATGTATGAATGCCATGATAGATATAAATTTTTCATCTAGGTCTTGTATGCCTTTCACTGGAAGTAAGATTACTTCATTATAAATACATCTTGGCATATTAGCAGGGTTAGGAAATATTTACAAATGAATGAAGGCGGGTTTGTATTTGGAAAAAGAAAAGTCCTTACCAGCATGGTACTTCATTGTGCTTAATTTAGGATTCCAGAAGTGGCATTTACTGGAAAACTGTACTTTCCTGGAATTCAGAGATTGCACAACTTGAATATATCAGTTACATTTATTACTTTGGAAAAACTCAAGTACAGTTGTTTGGGTTTATTTTCTTAATGATGGCAGGTGGACAAACAGTTTGTAATGTGCTGTCTAGAGTACTAAATTATTTAGGATGTTTGCATTCTAATCTCCGTGTCTAGAGGTCTTTTAAAAAAGGTATTTCATTTTGAGCCAGCTATTTGAAGTTCAACCTCATAAATATTATATCATATGCATTATGTTATTGTTTTGTTTGGTAATATACATGCACTTAGTTTTTTTCTAATTGAAAGAAAATTAATTTTTGGAGTTAAGTGTATGAAAAGTTGGAATTTCAAATTTTTCAGAAAAGACCTATTGAAGATTTTCTGCATTGAAATGTGCTTTGGCCTGTATTTTT